GTCTCTAGTGCATAGGAAGGCTGTGACCTATTTGAGAGGTTCACTGCCTCTCCTAGAAGCTTCCACAATCAGTAATTCATATTTTTGGCTGGGAAAAGAGGGTGGCAAAAGCATATTAGGGTTTACAGAAACAGTCTTGGGAGGGCTTGTCTCCGATGGATGACATATACTTACAAGTTATAGCCATCTTCTCCTCATCCTGGAAGTTACACTTCTCCAGAAACGATAGTTCTCATAATTTTGAAGAGAAAGTATGGCCATTCCGGCAATATCAGACAGAAATAATTTGCAGTGTAGACCTTCCTCAGCTTCCTCAGTCAGATGTTCTCAAAGGAAATTGGGCTAAAGACTCGGGCAGACGCAAAGTCACGCTGAGAAGGGCTCTCCTTTACAGAAGAAACCTAAATCTTTGGAAGCCTCTCCCTTGGCTTGGTTTATGGCCAAACCTAAATGTCAAAGAGCTAAATATGTCAGAAGATCTTGGGGGCAGGGATGGGGTCCTTCAGCAGGACCTTTCACATCATTTTATCCTGTTCCCCTCACTTTTTATATTAAACAGCTACGTTGACTTTTTAACAAATATAGAAGTGAAGCGAGGGAAAGAAGGGATAGCCATGGAGATGTGACAGGGAGAAATACTGTAGAAGCTTCATAGATTTTTTTATAAAAGGTTTATGAATAAACCTAAATGTTCACCCAAAATATACACAACTCCTTGGCTATACAATTTACACATCACACCTTCTCTTTCCTCCACATTATTTCAGCGAGAAAATGAGTTTTTCAGAGGCTGAGATCAAGTCTGTCCTGTACGAAATTGTAACTTTTCTTACATCTTTCAACAGACAAAAGATGTTACGACAGCCATGAATGAAGGACGGTTTGACGAAGCTCTTAAACTGAGGGGAAGGTGAGGAGAGAGAGAGAGAGAGAGAGAGAGAGAGAGAGAGGGGGGATATAACCTTTTATGGGTGGTGTGCAGACATGTGTGTTTTTATCTCTCTTGCCACGCCACGAGGCTCCTTTATATTGATGAAGTTCTTGACTCTTACTCCTAATTGCTGAGGTTTGGGTAAAATGCAAATATGTTTAAATTTAAAAAAAAACTGATCAGTGGTGGCGGCTTGAGATTAACCACTGCGCCACGAGGCTCCTTTATATTGATGAAGTTCTTGACTCTTACTCCTAATTGCTGAGGTTTGGGTAAAATGCAAATATGTTTAAATTTAAAAAAAAACTGATCAGTGGTGGCACCCTGGCTTGAGATGCACTTTGCATCTTTGGCAAAGGCTGCCAGGCAGGGTCATTTTTTTAAAAAAAGTATCCCAGGGTTTTGAATTTGCCTTTGCTGTTGGAGAGCGTTATTTTGCTGTTGGAGAGCATCTGCATTTACACTTCAATTGCTGGTGTCACAGTCCTTACTTGTTGTTTTTATTTCATATTGTAAGTCTGAGAACGTCGATAGAGGGTACCCTTTAGAGTACAGGAAATGATCAAGTGCAGAAACAGACTGGAGACACACAAAGCATTTTTGAAGGGAAGTATTGGTGGTAGGGCCAGTCCTGAAAGAAGCCTTCGCTCCTAAAACACTTTCTTGCCTCAGTAAATTCTAAACTCTTAGTTGCTCTGAACTTTAGGAGTGGCTCTAGAAATGGGGCAAAGATAGTTGAAGTGAGATGAAACTGCTCTGTA